TTTAAACAACTGAGAGCTGCTGGGACTCACAGTCAGACAAGCTGTGAGAGAATTTATTACACTCACTGTTATTGTATCATGTGCAGGACGTGCAAGTTCTTGTATTTCATGTGAATATTTCCTTAGTAATGTAGCAGAAAAATATAGAAACACTCACATACACTGAAAAATTTTTCCAAGGGGGTTTGCTTACCTCGTGTTGATGCACAGATGAGCACAGATGTCTGCACTGCAGAGAAATTAGCCTGTTAGTTTTAACTCTGGTTGAGGTCAGATGACATATTTAAAACACAGGATAACACCGTGTATCGAACTTTCTTTAAACTGGACCATAATTTGCATATTTGGAGAAGCTGGTAGAACCAATGAGTTTTTCTGGCATTTGCTAGATAGCTTGGTTAACAAGATGCATTCATAAATTACAATAACAATAGCTATTCCCCCCTTGGATGTCTGATAACCTTTATTTCTCCTTTCTGAAATGAGTGCTTTCTATTTATTTCAGACCTTTCATTTTCCATTAAAAATGATTAGCGTCTCATCTGTGCCTATATTTCACTACGGCTACACTTATCAAACCATGCTATATATTGAGGTGTCTAAACTGGTCATTAAGGATACGGTGGAGCTCAACAAAGGCCGTTTATATGCAGGAAATAATTGCAGAAAAAGACGTTTCCACCTCTCATTCGAGAAGCTTCTTCAGTTCTAGGATCAAAAGGTAGAGAGTCAAAGATTCAAGCTCTATAGGAGCTTCTCGGATGAGAGGCGAAACGTCTTAAAGCAACTTAAAGAAGTCCAGACGCTTTTCTCTCCGAGCTCGTTAACTATGATGACCTGGATGACTGAGAAACTTCACAGACAGTCTTGAAACACTTCAACATGCAACTCCTTCGTTGTCTTTTCATTCAGCTGAATATTAAACAAAACTGCATCCATCTCCTTTCTATCTAGTTTTGTCTTGTAACATACAACATGTAGGATTTTGGAACAGGTTAAGGACTGAAATACACCTCAAATGCTGGAATTAATAGCAGCTTTTAAACGACTTCATATTTTCTTTGCACACTCGACTCTAATTTCATTTCATTGCTTTGACATTTCATGGCCTGCCTCTTGCATTTGTATCTCTCTTTTCCTTTTTTCTCTTTTTAACACAGAGGAAGTTGTCTGTGTGTCCTGTTCAAATCCACAAAGTCATATCTGTGCAGTTTGGACATCCTCACAGTTACATTTAGGGATGGGTACCGGTATCCGGTGCCATGATGGCACCGGTTCTGACATAAACGGTAGTAACCAGACCGAAAAGCAGCGCACATTTCGGTGCTTTTTTTTCCTGAGCTGTGATACACTTTAGATTCTAGCCAATCATTTTAAG